CACCCCCCCCCCCCCATCTAGATGGCCTTCTGCCTGTATACAGAGCAACCTAGGAGAAACTCATGTGTCCTTGCAGCCTCCTTTGAGACCACCGTATTCCCTGCCTGCCTCTCTTGCATCACACCGCAGATGTCTGACTGCATCCTACACTGATAAGAAGGGGGTCCGCAGCCACTTCTGGCTCCAGTGGGTGCTAATTAACCACGAAACACACAAAAGCCGTGGGGGAGCTTACACACGAAGGACATCAAACAGTTACAGGAACATAAATCATTCCAAAGATTCTAATGCTAAAATGCAAATTAATTCCTAAGTCACCCTGTGGCATGAGATATGGCCCCTTTTTATCATCTATCAGCTTTACAATTTTGATGGACTTCAGAACTACTTTCTGCAGGACACCACCACCTCAGGAAGCCAATCAACAGACTCCTTTTCACCAGATGATAAACTGGCTTTATAGAGTGACTTGGGGAACACTTGGGCCATCCTCCTGCCTGAGTGGGGATGGTATTCATTTCTTCAGTCTCATTTCAAAGGCGGCCTTTTTTGAGGCCAAGTCATGTGATTCCCAGCCAGAGATTTCTTTTTCTTTTTCTCCCTTTTTTTTTTTTTTAAAGAGGCTTTTGCCTTAGAGTGCATGTACTCCCCAGAGAGAAAACAGTGAGAGGGAAAGCAAGAAATTACCCTCTAGGGGGATGGCCATGCCGCAACCCTTCTCCTCCAGTCTCCTCCTGGGATCTTGGGCAAGCACGCACACACCCCAACGTGATTTTGAAGCCACCAGGTCCGAGACTCAAACCACCATTAGCCATGTGGGAGTCCACTGACATAACTGCTACGCCATCTGCTGGTCCCCCAGCCAGAGATTTCTGATAAAGCTAAGGATTGTCTGTCCAAGTGGGCCCAGTTGAACGCCAGGCCAAGTCTTTGTGATCCTGTTTTAAATGGAACCCTCGGAGGGAGATAAGCCCAATTTTAACTATGTACAGACACTCGACAAATGCAAAATAAATATGTAAAGTAGACAGATATAACCCAGATGCTATGACCTCCCCGCAAATCATCACACAGAATAGGGTCAATGAGAAGCATGCTTTGTACGACTCCTGAAATACAGGGGAAGGGGGCTCTATCCACAACCAGGCCTGGCTGCCCTCAGTGGCAGAAGGAGGCAGGTGAGGAACCACCAGACCAGCTGGGTCAGCCCTTGAAGCAGGCATGGCACTTGAACATGTGACTTGGGCTGCTGCCATGGACGGGAGCTGCAGCAGAAGTAGGACTGTACCGGATGTTCAGTTTAGGGAGCTGACCCCTCACCCTGACCCTGCAGGGGCAGCAGCATTTCCCACGTTCCCCGACCCGATCAGTCAGCAGTACCTGATCAACTCCAGCCGTAAAACCAGAGGCTGCTCTTTTCTGAAGAATGCAAAGCCACATGGGCATGGAGGGCACTTTCTCACACACTCTCCTCCCCGCACCCAGACGCACACCCCCCTGTGAGTTACTGATTACACAGCATACTACTAATGCTGTAAACACCTGCTACTGGGATCTCCTGGGGAGTTTCCACAGGACCGCAGAATTTCCTCCCAGAAGTCTGGGTTTTTTTTTCCATCTTGGTGAGGGCTAGACACAAAATATTAGAGCTACAGTGAGGTTTGTAAACATGAAAATCAGTTCAGAGAGTGAAAACCTGACAAAATAATTTTCATAGAAGAGACCATTAGTATCTAAAAAAAATCCCACACAAACAAACAAAAACCCTACAGCATCATAGGGGCTTAACTCATTCATCACAAATAATAATCTTGATTTTATCAAGAATCAGTCAAAAACCTTAAGTAACCAGGATTTTCCCCAACAACTTCTAAGATTGATGTTCACAGCTGTGACACTGAGGCACCCTTTAAAAGTGACAATTACGCCTTCTGAAACATTGGTGGAGCTTCAAGTATTTCTAAATCTTAAACAAATCTACTTGGACTCACTTCAGAACTCTTCCCAGGCATTTAGTAAATTAGTACACGGCCCTAAATAGAGGGGTGTGTGTGTGTGTCTGTGTGCCATACACACGTGTACACACACACATGCATACACACACACACTCTCCCCCCTCTGGTCCAAGGAGCCAACAGACAGGCAAGAGCTTTGGCTGGTGGAAAGGACTGTGTTTCCTTCATGGCTTTTACCTGAGAAGGTAAAGTTACAGGAATCCTGCAGTTCAGCCTCCAAGTTTTTAGAGTAGGCAGGAAACTAGAAAACAAGACGGTCCCCATATTCCTGGATCAGAATCTGGGATTTGGGAAGGTGATTCATTTAAGGAAGAATCAAGTGATTTCTCAGCAAGGTTATCTCACTGGTGACCCTCCCATGAGACATCAGTGCGGGGAGCTGCCTGGGAGGATGCCAGTTTTCCCCATCCTCAGCAAAGAGCCCCACCAGCAAGCCTACCGCCAAGACCATCAGAGTGGCACATGGCGTGTGGGCTCTGTCGGCTGCTGGGGTGCCCTGGGCGAGGAAGACAAGGCCTAGGTTGGATCCCGGCAGCCAGACTCAACAGCTGCTGCTGACTGGTGGCTCCGACCCTGCACCTTCATTGCCTGATAGCCTCCCCCTCAGCAGCCCCATTCAACCCAAAGTCTTGACTTGTTCCAAACACACGACAGGGTGGTTCGGAGTCAGCTGGGAGGCCTGTGCTCTGGGATGGTGGAGACCCGGAGTGGACAGGGCGGCCAGTGAGGGGGCTGCTCCCACGGCCACTGATCACTAGAGAACGCGGGCCTCTCCAGCCCCACAGACCTGCCCGCTGGGCACTTCAGAAACCTGTTCCCAAAATGAACTTTTACCAAAGAGGACAAAATTCAACTGAATCCCATGAAAATCTGACGTGACGAGGGAAAGAAAACTCGAGTGAGAGGATTCGCGCGAGGACAGGAGGGAGGCGGACCCTGCGGGCCCTCACGTGTCCAGGCGCTGGATCTCAGGGCGACTGTCCACGTCTCTGGACTCGGTGCGGGCGCGGATGTAGTCGTTGGCGCTCTGCTGGCGGACGCTGCTGGCTCTCCATTTCTGCACTGCCAGGAACGTGTTCACCGCGTACACCGCAGTGGCCAAGAAGCCGAAGATCTAAAACAACAGGGCGGTCAGTCCCCAGGCGTGTGACTTGCCTCTGAGTGACTTTCACAGGGACCCATGGGGTAGCCTCTTCCAGCTCCCTGCCATGGCCCTGCCGACTGCATGGCTGTCACACTGTGGCTGAGGCTGTAGTCACGTGACCCACAGAAAATCCTGCCTGGCCTGAATGAGGCTTAAGATCTCCCTTGGAGTATTTTGTACCTTTTTAAAAAATAAATTAATTACAAAAGTACCTCTTCTACAGCACCTTCGTGGCCTCTGGTCTTGGATGAGAAAATATAATGTGGACAAAATGTAATATAGACAGGAAATGAGTCTCTCATGTGAGCCTCCAGTCACGCCCCTGTACTGCAGGAACAGCCGCCATCCCCACCCCGACCTGCTATCTTCTGCCCGCCACCTGCAGCGCCCAGGGGGCAGTTTGAGGTGAGAGGCAGCTGGATTTGAACTGCCTGACAAGGACCGATGAACCTATTGAGCAACCCAAGAGCAGCGGCTTTATTTTTCTATAACCCTTTTAATAAGCACCTCCCAACTCTGAAGTGTTCTTTGTCAATCCAAATCGATGCCGAAATGCAGTCTGAGAGGAAAGTCGTATCTGATCCCCCACCTCCCCACTGCCATGGCCTTCCGCTTCCAAGAGCAAAAACGACACGAGACGGCCTAATGGGGCCGAGGCTGCCTTCTCTTCCTTAAGACCCCACACTCCATGGGCAGGTGAGGCTCTGATAACATCCCATTGTTACCAAAGAAAATGCTCAAGGGGAGCAGGGAGCACGCATGCCAAGGGACAGGGGAGGGCAAGACATGGAGGGACGCACAGATCAGCCTGCCTTTTAGCCTCCTGAGTTTGCTTACCACGGCGGCGATTTCTGCTCCGGCTTTGTGGTTTAAAGCAGCCAGGACAATGGAAGCAATAAAAAAAAAGAAAGTGCTGAGTCCAGTGTTGACCAAGTCCTAAAGAAAAAGACAGAACGAAACCACTTGTAAAGGATCGTTTCACCCTTTGCTTTAAAAGCAATAGAACTACTTTCAAAATAAGGACCACAACACCCAGCTCAAACCAGCTTCCCATTTCAGTCTCCAAGTCCCAGGGGTGTGGGTCACAAAAAAGTAGGGAAGACAAGGCAGTGTATGTAGCTCCTGGGTAAATCCTCACCACAAAATCTCCACCTTAACCAACCACCAGCTTAATCATTTCTTTTTTGTTTCTTTTCTTTCTTTCTTCTTCTTTTTTTATTTTTATTTTATTTTATTATTTTTATTTTAAGAGATTTTTGCTATAGGACACATGTGCTCGCCAGGAGAGACAGACAGCAAAAAATCACCCCCAGGGTAGATGGCCATTCTCCTCTCGGAATCTTGGGTGCACGTGCACACACGCTCGGTGTGAGTTTTAAGCAATGGAGTCTGGGACTCAAACTATGGTTGACCACATGGGAGTCCAAAGACGTAACCATTACACCATCTGCTGGCCCCTTAATCATTCCTTAATGGCTTCAGAAATAACTGGTAACATGAATTACTGTTGAGAGTTCTAATGTTACCTTAAAAAAAAAACAAAAAACAAAAAATAGAAAAACACCATGCTCAATCGTCTTGGTTAGGGACAAAACTCCCTGAGACTTTAAATGTACTGACACTGCTGAAATGCCCTCCAACACCCCCCACACTTGTGTGGATACATAAAGCACAGCTGCATCGCAGAGAACACACGAAGCCAGACCTCACACTCTCTTACGCAGCCTTTCAAGGCTCTATGTCGCTAAAGCTGGAGGATTTTCTCCTAAGCTTCTTGCAAAGCAAATCAGGTTACATGTTCCACGTTTCACAGATGGACCGCCTGTTTTACTTGTAGAAAGGAATATAGCCCCATGGTTAAGAGTCACTTAACAGGGCCCAACAGGTGGAGTGGTGGTTAAGACACTGGACTCCCCCATGGCCGACCATGGTTTGAGTCCTGGAACTGGTGGCTTGCTTTCTCACCATTTCTCTCTGTCTTCTCTTGCTCATTCTGTCTCTCTCTCTGATGAGTACACATGCCTTGTAGCAAATTTTAAAATAATGGTAAATAAAATTAAAATAAATAATTCTTTAAGGGATCAGGAGTTGGTGTAATGACTATGTTGCTTGACTCCCATGTAGTCCCAGACCTGACAGCTTAAACTCACACTGGGCACATGTGCATGTGTGCCCAAGATCCTGAGAGGAGAACAGAGGAGAAGGGATTGCGGCGTGGCCATCCCACCTGGGGATGATTTCTCGCTTTCTGTCTCTTTGTCTCCTCTGTCTTTCTGGCGAGTGCACACGCCCTATAGCAAAAAAATCTCTCAAAAAAAAAATGATTTAAAAACAAAAGGTCACTTGGCTAGGCTGATCCAACCCATGTGGGCAAGTTTCCTTTCAGGACCAGAGGTCTCCCTGCACATACCAGACACATGCGTGCCTAGGATTTGGGGCTGTGTCAAAACAACTGCAGTGCTCGCTCTCTCATTTTGGACGCCCAAGATCCCAAGAGGAGATTGGAAGAGATGGAGTTGTGGCATGGCCCTCTCCCTGGGCCTGATTTCTTACTTTTCCTCTCACTGGTGAATGCATGCACCCAATAACAAAAATCATTTAAAAAAAAAAAAAAAGGGATATTTAAAGGGGAAAAAAAGATCATTTTCTACCACGAACTGAGGTTATTTAGGAGGCAGGTTTAAACCAGGGAGAACACACCAGCAACTCTTAACAAGAGCCTGCCTCATCTGCCTCCTCCTTAGAGGCCAGTGAAACCTACCGAAATGCTGAAGCACTTATCTAAAACGGAGCCTGAACATAACAGTCTCTCTCTGCATCTCCAGCAAGTTCACATGCCCTATAGCAAAAATCATTCAAAAAATAATAAAATAAAATGATATAACTGTGTATATAGATATATATTTTTTGGGGGGAGGAGGTTTTTGCTATAGGGTGCTTGCGCTTGCCAGAAAGACAGAAAGAGACAGAGAGACAGAAAGCGAGAAATCACCCCCCAGGGGAGATGGCCATACCACAATCCCTTCTCTTCCATTCTCCTCATAGGATCTTGGGCATGCACGCACACGCACGCAGTGTGACTTTAAGCCACTGGGTCTGGGACTCGAACCATAGTCGACTATATGGGAGTCCAGCAACATAGCCATTATGCCAACTGCTGGTCCTGATACAGCTGTATATTTAACATGGAGAATGCTCAGGATAGTTTAAATGGAAAAAAAAACAAAAACAAAAAACATGACTTTAATGGTTCCATTCTTCTCACTCATATGTACAACATATATGTATATGTGAAAAATAGTCTAGAGAAAATGTCTAGAAGAATTTATACTTAATTATTATAAGTGGTTACTCCTGGGTAGGTTGTATCACGTATTTTTTAGCGGTTTTATTGAGTTATATTGATATACCATAAAATCTATCCAATTAAATTGTGTAACTCAATCACACTGTAATGTAATTCGATCCCAATGTAATCTTAGAACCTTTTCAGCACTCCACACAAAAGCCTCACACTCCTAGCAGTTATTCCTCACTCCCGCTCCCAGCCCTGGGCAACCACTTATCTGCTTTCTGTCTCTATGGATTTGCCTATTCTGCACAATTCATGTAAGTAGAATTATAGCTGTCCCCTGAACACCACAGAGCGAGTTAGAGGTGCCAATCCTCCATGCCATCAGAAATCTGTGTGTAACTGTTGGCTCCCTGAAAACCTAACTACTGATAGCCTACTGCTGACCAAGTGCTTTACCAATAACATAAACAGTGATTAATACATATTATGTATTCTTACAAAGTAAAAACATTCTTTTTTTTTTTTTAAACATTTTTGCCATAGGACAAGTGTATTTACTAGAGAGACAGCGAGAGGGAAAGTGAGAAATCACTCTCCCCGCAGGGGGGTAGCCATCCTGCAGTCCCTTCTCCTGCACCCTCCTCCTAGGATTTGAGGCATGCATGTACATGCACACAGTGTGGTTTTCAAGCCACTAAGTCCCAAGTACAGGACTCGAACCATGGTTGACCACTGGAAGTCTGGTACCTTAACCACCACTCCATCTGCTGGCTTCATGAATATTCTTAAAGTAAGCTAGAAAAAATAAAATCATAAGAAAGAGAAAAATACATTTATAAGGCTGGCCCCTGATGGAGGTTAAGGGAACCAGATCCCACATGGTCCCAGCCCTTGTGGCTTGAGGGGCATGCCAGACACATGTGTGTGCATGCCCAGAATCCCCACAGGATAAAGGAATGGAGGAAAAGGGGTGGCAGTGTGACCGTGTCCCATTGAGAGGTACCTCTGTCTCTGGTGAGTGCCCCCTGGAAATTATAAAAGAAAAATAAAATATATTTACAGTATTTAATGAAAAAAAAAATGCACATATAAGCAGACCTGCACAGACCAAAGCCATTCAACTGTATATAATACGTGGTCTTCCATGCCCGATTCCTGCAGTTTAGTATAAAGGTTCTAAGGTTCATTCATGTTGCAGCATGTACGGTGACTATGTTAATTCTTTTTTATTATCGAACATTCCACTGTACAGATACACCATGCTTTGTGTACGCTTTCATCAGTGGACAGACATTTCCGTTGTTTCTACTGTCTGTCTCTGAAAAATGCAGCTATGAACGTCCAAGCTTTTATGTGGATATGCCTTCATTTCTCTTAGGTCATCACATGATTTTTTTATGATCTGTGTCTTCTAGTTTCTCTACAACAAACATTTATTACTTGCATAACTTAAAAGGCTTAAAACTAGGATACTGCAAAAGTTAGCATAAACCACTTGAGTTCTTGGGCTGTGAAACAAAATCAAGACTTGTAGATTCATTCTGCATATTTGAGAGCACCCATAGGTGTGTCCTCTGATGAGAGTTTTGGTTTTATTTTGGCAAACATTGCTGTTGAGCTTTTCCTTTTTTTTGGTTAGAGAGATTTTTGCCGCTTGCCAGAGACTCAGAGAGACAGAAAGCAAGAAATCATCCCCTCCACCCCAGGAGGGATGACCATGTTGCAATCCCTTCTCTTCCATTCTCCCCTCAGGATCTTGGGCATGAATGCCCATGTACCCAGAGTGAGGTTTAAGTCACCGGGTCTGGGACTCAAACCACAGTCGACTACATCGTAGTCCAGTGACATAACAATTAAGCCATCTGGTGGTCCTGGAACTTTTATTTTTGGTTTTGAGATAGAGTTTTGCTATAGGGTGCATGAGCTATCTGGGGAGAGAGAGACAGAGACAGAGACAAAGACAGAGAGACAGAAAATGAGAAATCACCTTCTGGGGGGATGGCCACACTGCAATCCCTTCTCCACTTGGGATTTCAGGCACGCATGCACACACACCTGGTGTGAGTTTCAAGCAGCCAGATCTGGGACTCGAACAGTGGTTGGCAATGTTGGAGTACCGTGCCTTAACCACTGCACCACCTGTTGGCCTCGGTGTTGAAACATTTTTAATGTTGTTCATGGAACATATACCCTCTCAGCCATACATTTTGCTAGTCTCCCCCACTTCCCTGCAGTCTCACCCTCAGCCAGTTTATCTGCCTCTTCCCGAAACACTAAGGCTGCAGCCCTTCCTTAGGCTGGGAGATGGAGAAGGTCAGAGGCCAGGAGCTAAGCCATTGCTGTCTATTGGTCCTGATTTAAGATACACTTTGGGGGGAACCAGCAGTTAGCGTAATGGCTATGTCGCTGGACTCCCACGCAGTTGACCGTGGTTCACGTCCCGGACCCGGTGGCTTAAAACTCACGCCGGGCGCGTGTGCGTGCGTGCCCAAGATCCCGAGAGGAGAAGGGATTGCGGCGTGACCATCCCCCCTGGGGGGTGGTTTCTCGCTTTCTGTCTCTATGTCTCTCTCTGTCTGTCTGGCGAGCGCACGCGCCCTACAGTGAAAATCTCTCAAAAAAAAAAAAAAAAAAAAAGATACACTTTGGGGCTCTCTTTCAGTAACACACCTGCAGTGAGTCTACAAAAATCCACATGTAACACACATGGGTGTGGAAAAAGTATACAGAGAAAACTAACATCACAGAACAAGTCCCACAGATTCACCAAAAACCTGATATGAACAAAAATCTTTCAGACTGCATCAAATTTTGCTGCTGGAAAATATATGCATGCTTTGCATTGTCCTTATTTACCATTTCTCATCCATATTTATGTAAACCTGGGCTCTGGAATGACCCATTTTCTTTCCTTTTTTTATTTTTTCTTTTTAAGTCTTGCTATAGGACACGTGCACTCACCAGAGAGAGAAAAGGAAGGTGAGAAATGACCATCCCCCTAGGAAGATGGCCACACCACAATCCCTTCTCCATTCTCCTCTCAGGATTGTGGGCATGCATGCACACATGCCTGGTATATTTTCAAGCCATCCAGTCCAGGACTCAAACTGTGCTGTTGGCCATGTGGGATCCAGCTGCCTTAACCTCTATCTACTTGTTGCTTCCATAAATGACCTATTTTTCTATACCTAAACCAGTCATGCCCTGTTTCATCCATCAGGCTGGTTCTGTTGGGAACATAGATATTCCTACCATCTTGGTAGAGAAGTACAACACAGCCAAGCCAACCCTCATGCAGAGACCGACGAGCTGTGACCAGCCCTGAGGAACTCACTTTTTCTCCCCTCAGAGAGCAGATGTCCTGAGCTGCTATCAGTGGGTACCATCTGCTCGAGTTCACGTAAGGTACACACCCTTCTGTTGTCTCTGTAAGCAAACTCCTACATCTGCTCCAAAAGGGTGAAGGTTTTGGAAAGGCTCCCAAGGGGCAGGAAAGTGCTTCCAGGTGATCATATCACCACCCAACCATGGTCCTCAGCCAACACCACCCGGAAGAAAAGGGCAGATATCAACTCTCCCATGAAAAAGCTACATCTCAATCTGACCAATGATACGTGGTAGTCAGCAAGTGGGAAGTCTTTCATGGTCCAAAGAGAAAAATGAGAATTCCAGGAAGCTCGCTGAACAGGTATTTCTAGGCATAAAGGCCATCTGAAGCATGAAGTCTTTTAACAAATGAAAGGCTGTCAAATGAATGGACTAAACAGAGTTGACAGAGTAAAGTCAAAAAGTCTGCAAGAGAATAGTGTGGGGAACAGATAATAACAGCCTGCCAGAACTCTCTCTGACGCATGTTGACAGTAATATTCTTATACTGCCAGTGCCCACTGTTTGAGGGTTTACCAGATGCCTTCATGCTCATTATTTTATTTTACACTCAAAACTATTCTATAAGAAAAATATCATTACTTCCACTTTACCAGCAGTGAGACTATACCAACGTAGGGCTCTTTGTGACTGGCCATGGTCATATACAGCCTGTAAGAGCTTCACTGGACTTGAACCTAACTTGGTATTACCCAAAGCCTATGGTCTTAATCCTCTCAGCAGCTGCTTCTCCACCAAGTAGATAGACCCTTCTGCAGGGTTTCTTTCTTTCTCCTTCTTTCCTTCTCCTTCTCCTCCTATAAATTTATTTGTGAGACCAATAGATGGCATAATGGTTACATTGCTGGACTCCCATATAGTCGACTGCAGTTCAAGTCCCAGACCTAGCAGCTTAAACTCATGTCAGATGCATGTGTGTGTGTGCCCAAAATACCAAGAGGAGAATGGAGGAGAAAGGATTGCAGCATGACCATCCCCCCTGGAGCGGGGTGATTTTTCACTCTGTCTCTCTCTGGCGAGCATATGTGCCCTATAACAAAAATATCTTGAAAAAAAAACTAAATTGACTTGTTTCTGGGTTTTTGGGGTTTGTTTTTGTTTTTGTTTTTGTTTTTGTTTTTAGAGAGACTTTTGTTATAGGGCACATGGGCTCACCAGAGAGACAGAGAAAGACAGAGACAGAAAGTAAAAAATCAACCCCCAGGAGAGATGGCCATGCCACAATATTTTCTCCTCCATTCTCCTCTCAGATTCTGCGTATGCATGCACTCACACCTGGCATGAGTTTCAAGCCAAGTCTGAGACTCAAACCTCAGTCAACCACATTTGAGTTCAGTGCCTTAACCACTACACTACCGGCTGGCTCCTTGAGTTTTTTAATTGCCAGAAGGCACATGAAGTCACTAGAGAGACAGAGAGAGAAATGAGAGCAGGGGGAAGAAAGCACCTTCCAATGGGACTTGGTCATGCCACAATCCCTTCTCCTTTATGTCTCCATCCTGTCAGGCTTTGGGACACACACATGCATGCACGTGTGCCATGCGTATTTTTCAAGTTGCAGGGGCCGGGACTCAGCTGCGGTCAGCCATGTGGGATCTGGCTCCCGTAACCACTGAGCTATGGAGCCAGCCCTCCTGCAGGGTTTAATCCACTCTTTAGCCCATCCCCTCTCTCAACGAGTAATTACTGAAAAGGCCTTAGAAACAGCATGCAACTGGGACACCAATGTCTCAACGAGTAATTACTGAAAGGGCCTTAGAAACAACATGCAACTGGGACACCAGTGAACAAGATAACTGGGACACCAATGAGGACAATCTAGACCTTGCCCCCACCCTTACAGAGCATGCATTTTAGGTGGGGGTGGTTATAAGTTTCTCCGAAGCTGTCTACTACAGTCAATTTAGGACATAATTCTACAAGTATTTAAAAATACATAATACAAAGTTTGTCTTAAAATAGTCAAGACAGTAAAACCTGAGACAAAAAATTGGAGAAAACACTTGTGGTTCTCTTGAGGTTTTAGAGCTTGAAATCAAAATACCATCATGTTCTTTCTCAGCTTTCAATGCTAAGGCAAAATCAGCTGAGTTTTTGACTGACATAATTTTTCTAGATCAGCAGCTCTCCTTTTGTTTCTCCTCCTAAAGAGGTGCGTGCTCATTAGGACAACACAGAGGGCATTCATTCTACCGGGAAGCTTGTCCCTTCTTCACGCCCAGGGCGCACCGTGAGAGCGGCCCTGCCACACAAGGCGGCAGCCCAGCCTCCTCCCACAGCCACTCTCTCTCATGGTGTCTGCACGTCCCAGCACCAGCCAGAGACACAGGGCCACGCCTGGCTTCTCCAGGGGCCCAGGGCCTCCCCGGCCAATTCTCCCGACCCACAGCTGCAACGTCACAAGGTTCCACTCTCACAGCGATTGTGCTTCAGCAGGTCTCCCTGATTCCCTGCGAGCCCTTGCACAGACTTTGCAAAGAGCTACCGAGAAAACTTAGGGACCAGCAGATGGCGTAATCCTTACATCTCTGAACTCCTGTGTTGTTAACGGTGGTTCTAGTCTCAGACCAGGTGACTAAAAACATACTGGGCACATGTGCGTGTGTGCCCAAAATCCCCAGATCCCCAGAGGAGAATGTGGAGAAGAGACTGTGGCATGGCCATCCTCCCCTCGGGGCGGTAATTTCTCGTTTTCAGTCTCTGTCTCTCTGGTGAGTGAACGCACTCTATAGCAAAAATACAAAAAACAAAAAACATAGAAAAAACAACTCTCTTTTAAAAAAAAAGGAAAGAAAAGAAAACCAAGTGGTATTAAAATTCCTTTCTCTTTCTGCATGTCAAGGACCAGTAACACAGTTGAAGAAAGGGCGCCTGGGCCTGACCAGCCCCAAGGTCCTCATGCCAATTGGCAAGGTATCCACACACAGGGCTCTGCAGAGAGAAAAGGATGCATTTCCCCTCAAGACTTTCTGATCAAACTACCACATCTTTAGGGGCCAGCAGATGAAGTAGTGGTTGGGAAGCTGGACTCCTACATAGCCAACCACAGTTCCAGTCCTGGCCCAGAGGCTTGAAACTCATGCCAGACACATGTGCGTATGTACCCAAAATCCCAAGAGGAGAACGGAGGAGAAGGGCTTGTGGTATGGCCATATGCCCCTGGGGTGGAGGGGTGATTTCTTGCTTTCTGTCTCTCCAGCAAGTGCACACACTCTGTAGCAAAAGTCTCAAAACGAAACAAAAAACTACCACACTCTCAAGGTACTCTAAGTTGCTTTGAACTTAATAGTATTCTTAGGCTTTGCAAATTATTTGCATTTTCATCCATATTTTTAATTCCTCCAGGATTGTTATTTTTAAATAATTATTTATTTCTATATTATTTGCTATTGTCGTTATTTTTTAAAATTTGACCAGAGAGAGAGAGAGAGAGAAGGCAAGCTGCAAGGTCCAGGACCTGAACCACAGTTGGCCACATGGGAGTCCGGTACCTTAACCACTGCGCCACCTGCCGGCCTCCCAAAATGATTATTTTTGTGAATGGTTTTTGTGTCTAGCCTGAAAACCAGGTAGATGTGTTCATTCTATTTTCCTTCCCACATTCTGAAAGTATCAACATTGCCAGTCTTCTCAGATGACCGTGAAATTGGAATGACAACTTTACAAAGGCCAACGTAATTGTGTTAGGCTGCCTCCACCATTAGTTAAGATTCAATTTACTTTGTAGTTTTATTCAACCTGGTCAAGAAATTTAAAATTTCACAGTTGAGTTAAAAAGAAATATTGAAGTATCAACGTGACCTAGAACCCGACTCAACACAGTGATTCTGACACTGCCTTTGACCCAAGTCTGTTTGGTTTTTTCCAGGGTCAGAAAGGGGTGATTTGTACTCACGGTCAGGGTCCAGTTGATTTGGGGGATCCTCATGTGAAGGTTGAGACTGAACATAATCAGCAAGACTCCAGTCACCACAAATGCGCTGCAGCTCACGAACTCAAAGAAGTAGAGGCCTTCACACGGGGAGCACTCCATGATGGTCTCTATGCAGATGAATGCAATCAGAGCCAAGATCTAGGAAGGAAATTGGAAACACACGTGTATGTGTATATTTAGCACACAGCTGTGCACATACGTGCCCGTCCTGCCTAAATCAAACCATACTACAACCACATACGGCATGGAGTTCCTCTGGAGCAGCAGGATAACTATCAGAAGCCTGATCTGCCTCGATTCCCCTGCAGGACAGGTGCAGGGGCCTTGAAGAAAGCATCACCTTCCTCAGGTGAACAGCTGAGCGCCCGCAACACGCACACTGAAATCGTTCTGGTGTGGCCCCTGGAGTAAACCACAGGCCCCGGCGGGAAGCAGAAAGGAGCACTGTGGGCATTGTTTTTTAAGTGAATTACTTATTTAATTCCACCTGTTATCATTATTTTTTAAAATTTGACCAGAGAGAAAAGGAGAGAAAGTAAGCCACCAAGTCTGGGACCAAACTGCAGTCAGCCATGTGGGAATCCAGCACCTTTAACCACCATGCCACCTGCCAGCCCCATCACTGGATATTCTAGCTCTTCCCCTGCACCAGTCGGTGGGCTGTCTGTGCACGTCTAATCTACGGTCTCTACCACTATTATGCCAGACACCAAGAGGGTTCGATCCTAAGGATCAATGTCCATTTCAGGCCATCTGCAGCTCCTTTGGTGGTTCATGCTGCAGTGACACAGGGTAACTGCAACTCAATGGCTTTAAATGACCGGGGGGCCAGCTGCATGGTACAGCAGCAATGAGCTGCTGAAGAGAACTCGGACCCCACACAGTGACCACAGTTCATGTCCCTGGTCCAGCCAGCCAAAACATGCTGGGCACCCATGGGTGCCCCGGGTCCAACAGGCTGGAGGAAGTGGACCGCAGAGTGGAGGGTGCTCCTCTTGTTCCTCTCTCTCACTCATGGGTGTGCATGTGCTCTATCATGACTAAGGGGAAAAGGGATTGACTGAGGGTCAGTGACACGGCAGTAATGCAAGGCTCTGCAATGATAGACCCACACAGAGAAGTCCCGGGTTCGCGTCCTGAGGCCTCCCTTGTACACACTGGACACACGTTAACATGCTTGTGGTCTAGGCTGGTGGTGGCTGGGGATGGATCGTGGCTGAAGACCCTGTTGGCACTGCCTGTCCCCTCCTTTCTTAGTCTCTCCCTCACTGAAGAAAGACATACACTTAAAAAACAAATGATGTTATAACCCCCCTGCCCTCTAATTAGAAGTCTTTGAAAGCAAGAGGCCCACCTAACTAATTCATATACATTTATAAAGTACAGTATATCAGGGGCCAGCAGGTGGTGTGGTAGTTAAGGCACCTACTGTAGTCATGAAAGCACTGGACTCCCACGCGGCTAACCACGGTTCAAGTCCTGGACCTGCGGCTTGCTTTCTCTCTCCCTCTGTCTCTCTGGTCAAATGAAAAACATAATAACAAAATTAAATAAATAATTTTTAAGTACAGTATATCATTGTACTTCATCACAAGAAAATGGTCTGACAGCTTATAAAAAAACATTTTTAAAATCTACCAACATAGAATCAACTTCTTTCAGAAGGACTTAAGTAACATTCTAGCAATACGTCCGGGGAGTTCAGAGATCATAAAGTCAAACAGATACCAAGGGAAACTGCCAAGTGAACTTCTGAAGGTGAGCTTCACAGGAAGAGGCCCGAAGGCCAAGTTAATGGCCCTGCATCAAAAAAAGGTCAGGTGGCCTTGAGCACCGAATGCTAATCAGCTCGGGTTCCTGCTGGGCACCTGTCAGCCCACCACGCTGCAGCCAGGCTGGCTCCCAGCAAGCAGGCCCAAGAACACAGGCAGGCAGCTCCGTGGGCCTCTAGGACTTGTCCTCCAGAGCCAGAAGCACCGGCATCCCCAGGGAGCTCCTGAGAAACCCAGTCTCTGCTTCTGCTTGACCTACGGATCTGGCTCAGAATCTGCTTTTGGACAAGATCATAAAATGACTGAAGTCTGAGAAGCATCTAAGGCACAGACAGGCTGTTCTCTGCCTACGGAGGCCCCCCCCTCGAAGCTGCCACCTCCTCCACAGGCCTTCCCTGATTACTTCTTGCCAGATGGTCTCTCTGGGAAAGCTTGCTGGGACTGCACTGTGGGCTTCTCATCATCTGCCCCCCGAACTTCCTGAGGGAGGCCGGTCCCTCCCTCTACTCCCAGGATACCAAGCACAGTAACTTGCACAGGCAGATGGGGGTTCAGTGCGCTGCTAGAAACCCACAACTACAATGCCTGGCACCTGCCGGGTGAAGGACTGCCAGCGAGGATGGAGGCTGCGCTTTTCCCAGGGTCCACACCTTCAGGCAGAACCTGCAGGTCGTCCACACCTTTCCTAACAATAGTAGCCTTTTCACATTTCTAAGTCCACACATCACTGTGGGTGGAGGTGGCCAAGGGATACAAAATGTCAGGCAGGAGGAAGAGTAAGTTCAAGAGATCTATGTTCCAGGGCCCAATAGCTAGTAACAATGTATACAATCTGAAAATTGCTCAGAGTAGACTTTAAGTGTTCTCACAAAGAAAAGTAATTCTGGGAAGGAAGGCATGTTAATTAGCCCGGCTGAGCCATTCCACAATGGATAGGTATTCTGAGACATCCTATCAAACACAATAAATACAATGTGCATTTGTCAATTAAACAGAAGAAAATTAAAGGATTTGACTTTTATTTTATTTGTGTGTCACCTAACGGCTCTCCTTACACTTCTTCTCCACAGAAGGGCAGACGCATTCTCCCTCTGAATTACATACCTAGCTTACAATCAATTCGCAAACTCACACACAAAAAAAAACACACAAGGGAAATCTGACCTTCCCTTTTTTCTCCCCCCCCCACCCCCCCATCAGATCTATTCATCTTGGGCAAGAAGTAACACCCTGTCCTGATGAGTTACAAATGTTTCCGGTATGCGAACTTTAAACATATTTGTGTGGGAAAGTAACACCTACATTCTTAAATATTAAAATTAAAATGTCTTCAAGAATATTCAAATCTAACGGGCCATTTGTTACAACAGTGAACAAAGTCGAGAAAAATCCCTGCTCTCTAGTTCACGGTCTAATTAAGTTTTAAAAAGCTGAACAACAGAGTGAGTTTGGCAGTGATCGAACAAAGGAGAAAGGTTAAAGCACGGAAGGGGAAAGAAGTGTGACTGGGACAGGGACGTTTGGAAGTTCAGCCACACACCCTGGAGGGCCTCACTGAGGAGGTGCTATCCGTGAGCATGAAGAGCACCAGAGGCAGAGAGAGGAGGGGCCAGGAGGCAGGAGCTGGGAAGCCAGGGCTGGGACGGGTGAAAGTTGGGCAGAGCTGCAGGAGGGGAGGCCAGACCCATGGCGCTGCAGGTCTGTGGCTGTCACTCTGCGTGTGGTGGTATGATGCGGCTTGGGTCTCACAAAGGCCACCACACTGTGCAGGAGAGAGACTACCAGGAGGACGAGGACGGAAGCCGGAAGAGAGCTCTGCAGTATCGTAGTGGGAGGTGACGGTGGCCTCACCGTGTGCCGGGGTGGTGGCAGCACAGAGGTGAGGGGGGTTGAGTGCTGGGCATATCCTGAAGGTGGAGCCCACAGGATTTGCAGCCAGACAGCTGCATGTGAGAGAAAGGTGAGGGGAGCCCGGCACGGAAGCGCTTGGCCTGTGCAGCCGGGATGGGGAAGCCTGCAGGGGCATGGGGGTAGGGGGGCAGGGAGACTTATTTATTGAATTCCATTTGTTATTAGTTTTTAATTTGACCAAAGAGAGAGAGAGACAGAGAAAGAAAGGGAAAGTGAGAACGCAAGCCACCAGGTCGGGGACTCAAACCGGGGTCGACCACGTGAAGTCCAGCGTCTTTAACTGCCACACCACCTGCTGGCCCAGCTATGGGTCTTAAGCTCAGAGGAGAGGTCTGGATGGAGACAACATGGGAGTCATCAGACAGGATGAGAGGCCGCGGGGGCGGGGGAGTAGAGCGAAAGGAAGAGGACAGGGCTAAGCCGGGGCACACCAGATGTCAGTGAGACGTGAGTTACTAACTGGGTGTGGCAGCCAGCCTCAACATAGGTCCTGGACCCACGCCCCCCTGGTATTTGCATCTTCATGGCACACAGGGCTGGCCTGTCATTGTGCAGAAATGACTTCACAGGGTCACAGGTATGTAGCTTCAAGGGTGAGGTCAAAAGTCACTGTGCAGAGGCAGATGGCGGAGCAGCAGTAAACCGTGACAGTCTGCAAGACTGACCAATGTGGAGGGTCCAGAGATGTCCCTGCATATGCTGGGCTTGCATGTGCCCATGACCCAGGAGGAGAAGGGACAGTAATGTGGCCATCCCCGGGGGATGGGGGTCTCTCACTTTTCCTCTCTCTCTCTCTATCTCTCTGTCTTTTTCTGGTGAGCACACATGCCCTATGGTAAAAGGATGTGAAAGAAAAAAAGAGAGAGCGAGAGAGAGAGGGACGGAGGACAGGGAAGGGGAGGAAGAGAAGAGAAGGAATCATCTATACACATATAGCTTTTAAACCATAAAATACGTATCACGCACACCTGGCTTTCTAGTTGGCTTTTTATGCTAAATAGTACATCCCCAGGCATTTCCATGTAAGTAATTTTCCAATAAATCCATGTTATTTCTAAAGGCGACAGTATTCGCACGCAGAGACAGGTCAAGAGGTATACCTGCCTACACATGTCCCATCATTTAGCCAGCCCCCACCGGGAAGAACTTCACGGCCTTTGATATTCTGCCATCGGGAGCAGTACGCTCTTTCTGCCGGACATTGGGCACGGCAGACTGTCAAAATCTCCTCCAGCACACGAACAAAATCCATCACTGTCTTCATCCAAACCTGTCTATTGACCAACGAGAAGACTCGGATTAAGTTGCCTTGGAAGCCAACCCCTTCAAGGAAACCAGAGTTAAAAGGAACACAACTCCGGACACTCCGGCATTAGACAGATGTCAGACGTGTAAAAACTGTAGCGATGCCCAAGAGAGACACGAGGCAACGCCATCGGCCTTTTTTTTTT